TAACATTTCGTCTACAGTTAGATTCGGGCTGTCAAATCGGGGGAACGTCGTTGTCCACGTAGGGGGTCACAAATTTATCAAGCACGAGCGATACCGCAACAAGGTGCGCTGGACCTGCTGCCGTCGCATACAACTTGGCTGTCGCGCCAGCATTACTACGCTCGACGCCCTCATCGTCAGGTCCTTCCTCAACCACAATCACTCCTAGCATAATCCAGAGACTATCGAACTTTTTCTTATAAACCATTGTTTAAATTTTTATATTCCAAATTCAAAATTCCAAACCGCCAGTGTTCATTCAATAAAATATAGTTTTTTTTAGAATATAAGGTTATGTAGCTTCAAATAAACGAGGAATAAAGTTAAATTGAGTATTATATATTAGTACAAATTTTGCTTAAACTCAGTTTATTCCTAAATTAAACTTTATACCGCGTTTATTTATAAGGCTCATACATACAAAGATTAGATTTATCATACATACATAACTCACAATTAATTGAGTGCCTTATTGTGTTTTACTGGATTATGTAAGTAAAAGAATAAAATCAACTAATTCGTGCCTTTAAAGTGTTCTTAGCGTATTCAATGCGTTTGATGCAAGCTTTAAAATGACAATGTTATGTAAAATGTAATTAATATAAGTATATTTGTTAAATATATTAATAAAATATGTATTTGGGAATAAAATTTATTATTATTTAAGTAAAGTAATATGTAAGTTTTTCCTAGTTCGTTTAAAAACGGACCCACTTTCTCTTCGCGTTTGTTTCCTTTTGCTATGAACAAGTTCAACAAAAGACAGGACAAAAACGAAACAAAATACTGCGACTTCAATATTGTTTTGTTTTATTTCCGTTCTGTTGCAGCTTCACAGGCATATGCAAGGATCGTCTACACTAGGGTTGTAACGGAGGCCATTTGCGACTAAAGGAATAATAACTAAAACTACATTACTTTAAAATACAGATTCGTACATAACTACAAGATAAAGTTTATTATGCAAATATAGTGTATAACAATTATAGTTAGTTAAAGACGTAATTCAACCTCCGTTATAACTCCGCATAAGAAATAACGGAAGCGGAGTTAATATTTCTTGCGGAAGTTCCGCACTTGCGGATGCGGAAGCAAAGTTCCGTTACAACCCTTGTCTACACTATATATTCTATGATACTGAGATTTTGTTACCCATTGGTGTTTAGTGTATTCAATGATTGTGGGTATTATTCAGTTTTACAATATGACCATTCAACGTGATAGCGATGGCTCGGCACTTCGCGAACGTCTTGTTACAGCGCCATCTGATGCGGCCGCGTGTATTCGCGTAATGCTTCCCGAATTTATACTCTCCAATGTGCAGTATCTTTCTTCCATTCCACTCCGTAATTAGAACATTATCTAAAATTTTAAATATTTTTATTAAAATTAACATTATATTTATGCAAGCAATCGACCCCTTATTATACCGAAGTAACAGAGAAAAGGATGTACAGAATGTACCTTTTCTTTTGCATCTCCTTCTCTGCTAATCAATATAAAAATTGGGAAAAGAAAAGGACCAAGATTGGGTATCAGAAACATTATTCGTCAGATGTAATGTAGAGTAGTCTTCTATAAGATCGTGGCATTTCACCTAATTAGCAACAGATTTAGGGCCTGTACCACCACTGGATAAAATCTCAGATACCTTAATAATGACGTCACTGTCAGAGAAGGTAACAAAATCTGATATTTCCGTCGTATATTTTACACTTTGTACTGTTATCAGACAATTTATAATTTGGTTGGACAGGCTCTTAGTGTCTCTACTTTCATACCCTATGCTTGTCATTTTATTTCTATCGTCATAACCTCTGGTAGTCTAAATAAAATAACATTGAATTACTTTTTAATTCTTGATCAGCATTTATTGGAAAATATTGTTTCAATCACGTTTTAATAATCAGATCGCGAGATCCATGATAATAGTATTATTACTCTCTTACAATTATTTCAACTACATATTGGAATCAAAGTACTGTAACTAAACTAAATCTAAGAAATAGCAAAATACTGTTTTATAACTCTATCTTAAGGCATAACATCAGTCACTTTTATTATTATCCGGTGAATCTTTAGGAACATTTGGAACTGGCGTATTTTCTAAATGTGTAATTTCTGTTTGAGGCAATTTAAGTGCAGTATCTTCATTATTTTGATTATCATTTAAAACGTCAGTAACATTAACTGTGGCACAACTTTCTTTATCTTCATTACTTGTAACATCTTGTCCTGTATTACAATCTGTCACATTTATAATACTTTCTAAATATGAATTACTAAAAAGAGGATCTGTTGGTGAATTTTTCGCTTCATCGATAGAATTTTCTAGCCTGGCTGGTAAATCTGCGAACAGAAACTCATCTACAGCTGTTACTAGCTTAGATCTTTCTATTTCAGTTTCCTCATCATCAGATAATATCTCAATGGGTGCTTCATCTCTAACAACTTCAATCACGTCATCATCTGATTCATTTTGTACATTTGCTTCAGATGTAATTTCAGTTATAATCAAATTTAAGTTTTCATCATCTGTAAAATTAATAATTTACATGTTATCATTTAGTTGTCTTACTTTTCTTTACTTACTAAATCTAAATACATTTGATTCAAACTCGAACATCTACTGGGATTTTTGATGTAAAAATAAGTTTTGTTTATTATATCTTTAATATACAAAAGTGTTTCTTCACATATTGAGTAGTAATGTTAACAGAATATTAATACTTAAAAAAATTACGATGTATTTCTGTATTCTTGGTCCTTGGAGCCGAGATTTTTCGTCAGTTGTACAATTTAATGATTATGTTCACCAATCACCGCAACCACTTCTAGTTCTTTACCCAATGTCTTGATTCTGACAGGACAAGTAATTGCGCAATGATAGTAGTATTTACAACACCACGTCTTTTTTCCCGCAGCTGTTGTTGTTCTAAGATTGTACACTTGACCTTCATAGTTAAGAATCTCGCCGCCTCTTCGAGATTTACTCACATATTTCCCAGTACCTGTAAATAATTTGTATTAAGTGACTTTTATTGCATCGATTTATCGATCGATTATTTTACTTGGTTATTGTTAATTAACCAAATTAAACTACAATTAAAATTATAAAATGTCATTTAACACGTATTCAAACCAATAATATCTTGGTACTGATATTAATAACAATTAAAAACATCAATAAAAACTGTTACAATTATTTTGAAAGAAATAAAGACCATTATTGATATATTAAAAAAAGTAGTAAAAGCTTTATTGTCTCTTTTGTGTACATTTTATGGAAGCCTTGGCTCTTATAAGTGTAACAGGAGCCATTCCCTTTAAATGTTTTAATTTCTAACATAATCATTCTCTCAGGGCGGATGGGTGTGCTCCACGTCACCGAATGTATACAAGTCTTGTACACTATTGGCGAATGCTTTGCATTTCATTGTAACTCTTTTAGAACAGTACCATAACACTTTGCCGGAAGTGAAAATACTTTGCAACTTGTAGCTATATCTGTGGAACAACAGTGTTGGGTGTTTACCACGTCTGGACGGCAATAGTAGAACTGAAATTATATTAATTGGTTTATACAAGTTAAAATAAAAAGTGTGACACTCAAGGGAGGAGTACGAATCGAATAACATCTCACTAGTGAAAATCTATACTCGTAGTACTTTAGGCTACGGGAGGGTGACCTTCGATTTGTGGCTGATGGAATTACCGTACGTAGAAAACCCAATTTTACTATCTTATTTATTTATAATGGCAACCCAACATATCGACATATCATTTTACTATTGTTAGGGATATTAATATGGGAAGGTTTAGATAAATGGATGTTTGTTAGAGTTTTCTAGCCTAAACTGCTAAACGGATTTCGACGAAATTTGACACAGATGTAGAGTATAGTCTGGAAGAACGCATGTGCCACTTGCTTTTATCTTTTTAATTCCACGCCGAAGGAGTCACGGTCAAAAGCTAGTTGTATTATAAATGTAGTTGTTCGATGGATGGGTGTTTGTTATTATATCTACATGACAGCTTAACAGACCTCGGCAAAATATGGCATTAATATCTGTATCATAATCTATGTTCGAATAGTTTGGAAGAACATAAAAGCTACTAAATAAGTTTTGCTGGAGTGACAGATTTTTTCGTAACTGAATTGCCACAGTTTGCCTTGAAGAGGCACTAACAGATTGACCAGACTTGAGGTGGTGGAGTAACTAAGCTCGAGGTCTCTCTTAGAAGCCTCGGAACGGGCCTATTCGTTATTATTATCGGATTCGGTGTCCGCCGAGCTCTTAGATAGCTTCGGTTGACGTTCCATGGAATGACTAGGCACAACAGCCTTCGAGAGGGGACCTCTGCTTGGGCTATTGCTCAATAAAGGAGTGACAAAGTCGCTGTCATTAGCTAGTACATAAATACATCTACATACGCGTGGACTAACAGGGTATTTTTTGAATAAGTAAATTACATTCCAACTAAATATATTCATAACAAATGAGGTTTTTTAATAGAATATTTCACTGAAACTCGAGGTCTTCCATAGAATTCGTCTTAAATAATCATTGATCTTGAGGCGTGTTTAGATCTATTTATTGATACCTCTAAGTTTGGGTATTTTGATCCAAGCCCCACTCTTCAGTTGTGTGCATTGTGGTGGCTCGTGATTATGTTCTTGATTGCCGCAGTAATAAGAGCCCTGGATACTTTTAACGCGGACCTTGCATCCAAAGCGGCGACTGGAACAGTACCAAATGATATCCCCTGATGACAACGTACATTGTCTTTTGAATGTATAGTTCTTGTATAGCAGCAATTGATGTCTTCTGTTTGTCGACAAGAATTTGACTGTGAATGTATTAATCTATTATTATTATTACAAAATCAAATATTTCAACACATGTTCTCGAAAAGGTCGACATCACTATAAATCAAATAATTTCTATTAAAACAAACCATAGAGTTCATACTATTTTATTGAATTGATGAAGATTCAACAAATACATTTAGAAAGCCAAAATTCATTATAGAAATGATTACTATCGCTCAAAATAATTTAATTTAACATATCTATGTTACTATACATTACAACTTTATGAGGGTGGAGGTACACCGTTAGAGGTAGACCTAAAAAATTATGAATGGGACGTAAAAGGTGTTATGATTAAGAAGAGAGTGACTGAGATGGATGATAGTAACTCTATCATGATCTATGATGATCAGATGGGCTGACTCTACAGGAGTAGGATAAGGTAGATGGCGTCTATGTTACAATCCATCGACCCGTACTCGTTCTAAACTTTGGTGCGTCATGGTTGTGGTCTCTCACGCATATAATTTCTTCATCATCTGCCAGACAGTACGCCCTACAACCCTTATGTACCATAACACATCGCCAGAATGTTTTTCCATTGTGATTTACTCTTATTCGTTTATACACGTAATCACTACACACCATCAGTGGGTTTTTTTTCCCCGTTGATATATACGTTATCTCTGAAAACAGAATGTAAATTGAAGAATAACGGCCAAGTTAGTATCAAAACATTTTAAGTTCAAGACACAAATTGGAACGTGCTCATGCAAAAATAGATTCGAAACTGGGCCAGCATTTACCAATGATTAACCCTTTACTAGCTTTGGGATCAATTAATTTTATTTCATAAATTGCAAACAACCAATATATTTCTTTACAATAAATATTGCATAACAAATAAATCTGTGTATCTTTTATATAAAAAAGTAAACTAAATGACTATCAATACAGCCAAAATTAGGTACTCTGTCTGGAACGTGAAATTTGGCATAGACATTTTTATTACAACGTAGACGCCCACTAAGAAAGGTTTTTTCTAAATTCATGTCAATTTTAATCTCATGAAGGTTCGGAATGGGGGCTTAAAATTTGTAGGGATAGAATATTCCTTTCATAATATGACGTAAATGTTAACTTAAACATTTATTAGCTTTTTTCAAATTTTACCTCCAACAGTCTTAAAAGGGTCAAAGTTTGTGTCTAGAATTTATTCACCTTCTAACAATCTAAAGGAGAAATAATTCCTAGAAATATTTACTTCTCCTATACTTTAGGATAGATAGGATAGGATACTTTCATTAGGATACCTTCTTTGCTCCGGAATAGAGTTGGTCTTTCGTGATTGTGTAAGTTTTTAATCAGTAAAATGCCTTCTCTTGGATCTTCAGTTTTCGTTTTCACATAGACCCTGCATCCTGAATACCACTTGGAGCATCTCCATTTCACTTGACCTTTCACCAGGAGTTGGTACCTCTTGAACGTGTACCCGCGGAACATAAGACAGGCGTGCTTCCTACCTGGCATCATCTCCAAATCTAGAAAGCCATACTTCTATATTATTTTTATATTCAATAACAGTTTATAACATACTATGCCATTAGCATATTTAGAGCGTGTATCTTCGACTAAACTAGCACACAACTGTTGTGCGATGGTCGACTGTTTCGCAGTCAATTCAACTGTTTAGTTGCATAACTAAACCGAGTAGTGTACGTACCTTTATAAAAGCTCATAGGAATCAAAGCGAGACTAAACAATTGTGCGATAGTTTAGTTTCGAGTGTGCGCACGTTTAGTATGAAAAATAACTCGTTAGAAGTGTTTATAGTCGGTACCAGCTGAATTAGCAGCCGATACAGAAACTTAATTTCTTATCGTGATTTCCAAAGAAACATTAAAAAAACATAGAAACGATTTATTTAAAAAAATGCCGTAAAATAATGTCTGGTTTACATTTAACCACTACAGTTGGATAGTAGCGGACTGTTATCCAGTAACAGTCAGAAGGTAAATTATACCAGTTATATGTCAACGCTTATTTTGAGCCCTACTACTACTACCTTACAGTATTGGCAAAATGTCTAATAACATAAATTTCTTCTTCATCCATTTTTTTTTATTGATCCTAAATTTTCACTTAATGTTTTACAAGTATCGACAGCAAAACGTACTTCAATATTAACAACGTTAAAAGTGACTGAAAGTTTTATGAATAAAGTTTAATTAGTCTCCCATTTATTACATACTAACTGTTCCCGTGCGGCTTCATCCGCATGAAATTATGAAAATTTTATTTTATTGTTTACATTTGTCAAATTATCAATAGCAAATGTCAAAATGACATGACATGACATGACATGACATGACATGACATGACAAACTTTAGCAATCTTTCTTTCTTGATGTTGGCAGCAACTTATGGTCTCTTTCCCACATTAGGGTTTTTATTCAAAATATTAACCCCCTAAATTTAATGGCGTGAAAATATATAGCCTAAAGTATGACGTAAGTATAGGGCTTTTTATTAAAAAAATATTATTCAAAAATATGCTGTAATTGCTGACATCTTAGGCAACAAAGAAGTGTGTGTTTACGCTTTATTATAATATAAAAAGTATAGACTATTTATATACATGTTTTGGCGTATGGCAATGTATATCATTTATCTTAATTATATAATCGAAGCGATCAGACGAAGACCTTATAAAGGCTTTACAACCAGTCCTCATCCTTCTGGAGCAATGCCAGAGCACTCCAGCACTGGATATACATTTAAATGTATACGTTTGATTGTTGTACAACAGGAGAGGATGTTTCCCTTTACCAGATGGTAAAAGTATACCTTAAAAGTAAAACTTTCATTTTAGTTTAATAATGTGAAGCAAAATATTGAACGCAAGCCGTCGCCAGTCGACGATCTAGGTTAAGAGGGTAAGCAGCTATATTTCATTACCACGAAGGGGCTCTGAGTCTATACTAAATTAGGGATGACCAGACAATAACCACGTTGGCTAATTAGTAGCCTTTAATATGATCTTAATTGATTTCTCATCATCTGCCTCCTTATTCTATTTCCGTAGGGTCGGGGCAACCGGTTATTGTCCTCCACATAAATCTCTCATACGTCATCTCAGTCATCACTCCCTTTTTGATCATGTCACCTTTCATGCAATCCATCCATCTCTTTCTAGGTCTACCTCTACCGGTGTACCACACTCATAACTAACATTATCCTTGTAACATTCGATTCATCCCTCACGTTTAAACTCTTAACAATTTTTTACGTTTATCACGAACTGAAGTATTTAAGATTTTGTTTAAGTATTCGTCCATAAAACTTTCCACTACTGCTAGTTTATCAGTCAGCGTTAAAATAAAATAAAATGACATATTTTATTATGTTAAAACTAAACTTTAATATATAAATTATTATATCTACATGCAACTGAATATCTCTTTCTTTCTTACCACTAATATTTTTTTTTTATAATGTGTAAAACATGTGTGCCATCTATTTTCAATGGCCACGGAAGATCAGTACATATGGTGAGTGGGTATCGCCAATAAATAAATAAATAAATGAATAAATAAATAAATAAATAATATTCAAATAAACAATTAATAAAAGATCAATCTTAATACATTCTGGAAGTAGATATATATTTTTTGGTAACTTTAGCAGCTATTCGAATGTTAGAAATTACTTCTTTTTAATTATTCTCTTGGTTTGCCTTTCGTAGATTTCTTTCGGATTCTCGTGATTGTGAGTCAAATTTAATTTACTTATAACTAGATATTGTCCATCTTTTGAGGGTTTTACTTGTACCATTGCTTTACAATTCAAATGCCAACTATTTTTTCGCTTATATTTTCCTTTCACTTGCCTTCCTCTTACACAGCAGTATTTTATGTAATAATATTTTAATCTTTTCTCTATATAACGTTTAACACCTCGACGTCTGCTTTGAAGTATTGTTACTACGTCTCTTTTATAAAAGAGGCTGTATGAACTCTTTTTATATTCATTTATTTTCTCTTCAAGTTCATCGTATGAAAAGAATTTATCATTGACACGTAACTGGACATCATTGACTTCTTGTTTTATTTCATTTATATTAATAATGTCTGGCATAATAGCTAATTTATCTAATACCGCTGATGGATCTAAAATCAAAATATTTTTCAATAATTTAGAGGAATCCCTTCATCGATCTTTTGCAAATGAGGCAAGTGCAGTTATAATTGTCAATTAATTTTAGTCCCTTTCCCTTTCCACTCTTTTCTTAAGAGGAAAGGATGGGAAGGAAAAGTGGATTTGACGGTGGAGGAGACGCATACGAAGGGGAAATATCCTCTCTATGTGCGTCTCTTCCTCCGTCAATTAAGGGTAGGCAACGCATCTGCAATTGCGGATGTTTATGGGCAGCGGTCGCTTTCCATTTCGGTGGATTCAGATGGCCACTTGCTCGTTTTCCACCTTATAATTTAAAAAAAAAGTAGCTCTTAAAGACTGCTGTGAATTTTCTATA